GTAACTCGAGGTACCACTGTAATCCTCTTTCAGTTTACTGTCTTTGCCTGAACCAACATTTGCGTTTCTGTCCTAGTGCAGCACTAGTGAGCAAGGTGGGCAGTGGACTATGATGAAGGGAGAAGTGTTAAAACAGCTCTTGCTTGTCCAAATTCTGATAGCAAAACACAGACAAGCTTATGTGTGTTTGAATTACTTTTACATAAACGGACTTCAAACTATCTCAGTATAAAATAATAACATTAATTCTAAGCTATTCATTCAAGCCCAAGTTGAGAGCTCGTTAGCAAGGCAATCAATCAATCAATCGACAATATTAGCATGGGAAATGTACTAAAATTGTAATACCCAACGTAGTGTAATCTAATACCCAGCAAACTAACAAAACATGCTTGAGGAACACGGGATCTTTCTCAGCACAGTGATCGTGAAAACACTCTCTAATCATTCTCGCATATTTCTATGGCTATTTAAGAATGATGAGATTGTTAATATAAACAGTTCCTGCCATATTCTTCTGGCACAGCTACCTCTGTCCCAACATAAGCAAGCCTGGTGGCCCCATGCCAGCAGTTATAAGTCAATAAGGGTGGAAATAAACTTTGGAGCTGCCTTCACCTTTTGAAAACATCTTGCACACAAAAGAAAAGGCAGGCCAGATAATGTTTTATTCCTTCTTCCAATAAAGAATCTTTAATTGGAAAGTGTAAGTTCTTCTAATACATAGTTGTGAACTTTCACAGTCAAAGCCAATTTCATAGGAAAGCTCTTAACACACATTCTCTGAGCATGACATTCCTGCTGCTTTGCTGTGTTCAACACAGTGTGAAGAGCTTGCTTCTGGTATGCTCACCCAAAGTAGACTTGAAACCACTACATGCTTTTGTGCTCCATATGGCTTTTTCTCCTACTCCAGCAATGCTTCATAGTTTCTATCAATTATGTAGTTTGATGCTGCTACAGACAGATAATAAAACTGGAGAGAAAAATCCCGTTCTGCAATGAAGCAATATCTACTCACATTATAAGCTTTGTGAAAATGTGAACCTTTGGGGGAGCGGGGTAAGGAGGATATGACAGCCTCCATGAGAGCCTACCATACATTCACAGAAGGACCTAAATATCACTTTGTTTAGTTTACCTGATGAGTAGAACCTGAAAGCAGGAGAAAGGACTTTCTCACAGGAAGGTTTTTCCCATTAAAAAATCAGAAGGGTGGCTGTTGAGGTGGCAAAAGAAAGTAGAAAGCCACTTGGGAAAGAGAACTGGGATGTGGTGTGATGGCTGGTAATCCACGATGGATCTAAACCAGTGTTTCTCAACCTTGGCAACTTTCAGATGGTGGACTTCAACGTTCAGAATTCTTAGAGTTGCCAAGGTTGAGAAACACTGATCTAAACGGTCTTGGCTGTTGAAGATTGTTATTGGCTTTAGTAAAGAGCAATGCTGCCTGGTGATCCTGAGCTGGCCTGGGCAGTATTCCTCTGATGAAAAGCTGCTATTTCAAGGAAGGGTCTGGGAGCAAGAAGCATGAAGCATTCATTAGTGGAAGAACTGGAAAACCCACCAAAGAATTGAGGACCATCATGAGATAACACTACCCCGTGCAGAAGGCTCTAGGGAGCCAGAAATGAGAAAGGAAGACCATGTTCTACCAGCCAAAAAGTGTTGCTGTCAGCTTTACACACACATACACACAGGGAGACAATATGCTGGCCACTATATTTAGCCTTCTTATTTCTAAATAGAGAAAGGTAGATTAGTTAGAAACACAGCATAATAAAGCCAACAGGACAAAATCCATACCCATACAGGCGGAAAACACCTATGCTGCATACTATTCAGTAGAGGGAGAGAGTCATTTTTCAAAGCATTTGTCCCCCCAAAGCACAAGAAGTTATTAGCCAAATAGAGAATGGAAAGTAGTGACTTCGGTGTAAATATAACTCTTGCCAAGAAATACAATTGCAAACTATGAAAGTAAATGCTCTTTGGTATTTTAATGAAGGGGGGGAAAAACCACGAGAGATGTTTTGCACTGTGCCTTTCATCTGAACTCGTGAATTCATAAAAGCCTGCGACAGAGGGATTAGTAAAGTTTAGTGAGGCTCAGATGCAAGCCATAGTACTCAATGGCTGAATTCTTGGAGGATTGTGAAGTAGTTTGAGACACAGCTTTTACTGTGCATTTGGTTTTTCTTACACATCATATATCATCTTTCCTTTGCAAAACTGGTATATGACTATAGGTATGGTACCATATAGCTGTCAATTGCATAACTCCTGGATCCACGAATGCTGTTTGGCGTCTAGAAGTGACTGCAGTTCATTTCATTGGGTCTCCACACCACTGTAAATCCAGAATCTAACTCACACTATCATAATCCCATTAGCTAGTACCACAGCAGGATTTCTCCATGTTTGCTACTTTCAGCTGGCTTCAAAAATGCTACTTAAAATGAAAACAAACAGGCTGAGTGTTAATACATTGAATTTGACATTAATGAGAAATCCGCATTATGTAGTTCTATGTAATCATCCTTTCTTCCATCTGAAGAAGACAGCATGAGATTTATAGTTAACAGAGTTTATTTTTTCTTACAAATCTGTGCCTGTCCTTGTCTTCAGAGGAGCTGACATTTCCTGTTGAAAACAACAAAATCAGGATTTAAGATTTTATGTTATCATTCCTTGCATGTTTAGATTTTCTTTTCATTTTCAGAGATCCTGCAGCCTGGTTAGATGTTTGCAAGCTCACTTAAGTTCTGAAACCAAGTACAATCTATGGAGAAATACTATCAACTTTGTAAAATAAGATGCAGCTATTTTAGGAGACAAATTGTCCTTTAATCAGTCTCAAAGTCAGTTTCTCCAGGCAAAGAGATGTTGTAATTCTGAGAAGTTCACATCTCAGAACAACTGCACAGAGTTTAAATATCCTAGTATGAAGGGGCTATATAGTTCATTCAAGATTATAGAGAAATCTACCAAGTGTAAGTGCTTGGAACTGAAGTGCAACACAAAAATCTTACTAGAAGTTGTTACCTGGTCTGGGTCATAAGCTACATTGATACAGGTTTCATCTTCAACAAAGTTGTTTCCTTCTGATTCATCATCCTTCTGGTAGATGGCCAGTGTTTTATCTGACCCTGTACTTGATGTCCTTTGAGAAAGATGGCCAGAATTTTAATGTGAGCAACAGTTTAAATGCCAGGCAGTTCTTTTTTTCTTTTCTTTTTTTTAGAGTTGTAATTTTACATTAGTATCATTTACATTACCACATTTCCTTTCCAATATCATGTTGCCTCATTAAGACCACAGTTGTTGGTCAAGACAACTTAATAGTCCTGCATATAGGTCAATATTCCATTCATTCATTCGTTCATTCGTTCATTCGGCTACCCAACTCACAAAATTGTGACTCCAGGTGGCGTACAGCAATAAAAACAGAACTACAATGTCCCCAATAACAAAAACAAAGATCAACAACAGCAAAACACACAATTGAGGCATACCAAGATATACTACACCTCCCAGGACAAGCTTATCTAACATCTTTGGCCAATGCCCCAAGGGGACAGTCAGGTCTTCAAAGTCTTCCTTAAGTCTAACAAGGTTGGGGCCAGCTGAATCTCAGGGGGAAGATAATTCCACAGGGTAGGCACCACAACAGAAAAGCCTTGCAACTTAAGTCTCCTCAGATGACATTGTTTCAAGAAGGGACCTAGAGCATGAATCACACTCAACATGAAGCTAATTTTTTGTTGCCAAAGGTCAACAGTCACCTGAAAATAGAATTCAGCAAGTATACTGACTGGATAGAACTGAGTTTTGAATTAAATAGCATTCAGGGCTTTCAACAGAAGACTTCATGTCTATTTAGCCTTCATACTGTTTAGATAACCTTCAGCCAACTGGGTGGTCTACCTCCAAGTTTATAGTTTCATATCTTTCAGCAGCAAATGCAGTCCTACAGCAAGCATTAGATAAAGATCTAGTGAAGTAAAACTAAAAAATGTAAATAGGAGCAGATGTGAAGAATCTATCAGGCAGGATATACTTGACTAATAGAGCAAGGTAATACAATTTATTTTAAATGCCACCCATCCCAAATTCCTTGCAGAAAAGATGCAGTATAAATGCAGTAAGCATGTACAGGATTATAAAAATAGAGTGAGAAAGTTACAGATAGTAGAATTACACTCTAGTGTCCCACACCAATGGTTGTTAATTCCAACATTTTAGTCCTTCAAAGGGGAAGTACAGAAAAGAGGATACTAATTTCATTATGGATTAGGTAGCAAAGAAGTCCATTGCATTCACCTGTTTTCACCATTGAATATCGGTTACTTTGAAGGGTGGAGAGAGAATAATCAAGCTTACCTTTGGCGTGATTTTTGTTTCCTAAAGTATATAAAGATCCCTGCTGCTCCCAGAGTCAGTAGTAAGACAGCAATGATACTCAAAACAATGGAACCAGCTGTAGACCTTGGTTCCTCTTCTTCACAGTAGTCACCACTATATCCCAACATGCAATTGCACTTTATTCTATGGTTTTCCACAGTACAGTCTCCTCTCATGTTACAAGTCTCACTGTTGCAGGCTTGTGACCCTAAGCCACTTTGCTTGACCCCATGCATTAGAGAAGGCTTTTGCCATTTCCCCGCTGCAGATAGCATAGGTTTCTGTCCTCTTCTTGAAGGAAGGATCTGTGTAGTGGTAGAAGTTGTACTTGTATATACAATAACAGTAGTACTCTTGTATTTTGTCTCTTGCGGTTGTATATGCACCTTTTTGGTGGCAAGTTTCTTAGTGGTGATTTTTATGGGTGCTGGGGTTTTCTTTTCATGAAATGGTTTTGTTTGCAGCAGTGTTGTCCAAGATGGAGTGATGGACTGGGGTTTCTTGACAATATAGTTGCCTGTAAGTAGAGAACATCATTTACATATATCATTTCTGAATATAGCAGGGTCAAGGCTGAGTATTTTGCAGCTGGCCAGAGGTTCTTAACAGAAAGAGTAACTGCAAGCAAGCCTAATTTTTTTCAAAACCTATAGTGTATACTCAAAGGCTACACATAGGGCATTGGGACAGGGACAGGTTAGTTGAAGGACCACCTATCTTCCATGGTTTCTGCCCAGATGGTACATGCCACCTAAGCTGGCATGCTCCAGGTTCTTTCAATTAAACAGTGCCACCTACTGGGACCCAGGAAATGTGCCTTCTTCATGGTGCCCACCCTCTGGAACAAGATCCCGCCTGAAATCTGTTGGATTCCACCGTGATGGTATTCATAAGGTCCTGAAGACCTCGTTGTTCTCCCAGGCATTTGGTTAAGGTGGATGGAACCCCTTGTTGGATGTGATTTTGTCTATGTTTTTGTTTTGAACTACCAAATCCCATCTTGTTTTGTTCTGCATTGTGTTTTTGTTATTATATTATGAGCTGCCTAAAGTCAGTTTGGAGTCAGGTGGCATCTAAATTGAAATAAAGGCTAAGCCATTACATTTTCCTCATCTGCTAAAGATGATGTAGTGCACAGATAAATTTTAAAAACAGGCAATGCTTGCATTTCAGCTAACCCGGCAGTCTGACCCCCAGTTCAGTTGTGATCATGTTTCACTACAATTCATGAATGCAGGCATTTCCTTTTATTCATATTACATCTGCACCACTCTACTGCTTTCTGAAAGAATGCTGGGAACTGCGCTTTTAAATATGGCGCTGAATCCTGGAGATGTTAATCCCTTGTTTACGTGGCTACAGTTTCCAGGAAGAAATGACTAAGTAATTTAAACAAGTCATAGTATTTTAGATTTGACTAACATGCTGTTTCCCCTTCATGGATCACTGCCTTGTTGTGGCAAAGGGGCTTGCATAACTCAGTGAAGCCAT